CTCCAGAATTTTAGATATTATACTGAGTATACTAACATATCATTGGGTCATTCAATAATGAAGGTAGGTCATACAATCACGATAGTAGATCATGCAGTCACGGTCGTAGGGTTATGCATACATAGTAATAGGTTATGCAACCACGGCAGGAACATCATTGAATTATGAAATCTTATATTGTCATGGTAGCAGGTCAAGCAGCCATGGTATTGGGTCATTCAATCATGAAAGTAGGTCATATAATCATGATAGTAGGTCATGCAAACACATTAGCAGGTCATACAATCATGGAAGCAAATCAAAGAACCATGGTAGCAAGTCAAGTAATCATGGTATTATGTAGGTAATTTAATCCTGAAAGTAGATTATACAATTATGGCGAATGCAAACACAGTAGTAGGTCATACACTCATAGTAGTACATCAAGGAACCATGGTACCAAGTCAATCAGTCATGGTATTAGGTCAATCAATTATGAAAGTAGGTCATATAATCATAGTGGTGCATGCAAACATATTAGCATACATACAATCATAGTAGTAGATCAAGGAACTATGGCAGCAAGTTATGCAATCATGGTAGTATCCCACTAGAAAGTAATTCAGTCATGGAAGTGGGTGGGCAGACAGCAACCACCCAGGGAGGTACTACCATCCTGTCATACAAGTGGTGTTATATGAAAACCTAGTGTGGAAAATACTGTATATATTTTCCAGAAATACAGTAGTTATGTAAATAGATAGCCATACTGTATTTAATAATATGTCATAGAAAACGGAAAGCCTGCGTCTGGGCAGACGAGACTGGCCATCTTGGTTTTGAATTTTGTACAAACGTTGGTGTAATGGGAAGAATTTTTCGTGCTCTAGGAGGCGAAATTGTTAGACATGCATTCCTGCATAACTTGAGATATCAGACTACTGAACAAGACAGCTCCAGGAACCTCAGATAAGCTCTCTAGATTTGTGTATAATTCTGGCCAGTGTTTTCATAAATTTCGTTAGTGAGGTTTTTCTGAGTATGATACAACTTAATATCCAGTCAAATTGGTGAGTGATATTTATATTTTCCTTCTGTTATGTAACTGTGTATATATATAACCATTTATTATTTTTAATATACAGTCCACAAATTTATATATTTACCAGTATTCCTGGTGGATGTATATTTCATTTAATTAATAGGTCCAGAGCAACTTGTGGATATGACAGTGGTAGGTATCGAAGGGGGACATTTTTGCGACCTAGGTGTCCCAAATTCCTGCTTGTCTATGTAACTCTGATAAATAATAATTATCTTTGTTATCATTTACTGTTATGTACATAATGAGTTACATTCAGATAAATGCAATTTTCCTCACCTAGTAAAAAAAAAATATTCTGGCAGATTGTTAGTCTTCTTTCTGCTTCATGAGCTGATAAATTTCCAAAGAATAGGGGAACACTTGAGGGAAAAAATCGGCTAATCAAATTTATTTTCAGGACAGAAACGGTGCAAAACAGGATCCTGCAGCAGAAACCATTGCTAAAGGAAACAAAAAAATACAGGCGGGTATACCTCGACCTGGACAGAATGAGAACAGTGACAGAAACTGAGAGAGAGAGAGAGAGAGAGAGAGAGAGAGAGGGGATACAAAGATGAAAAGGGCAAGAGAGACGAGGACAGAGACAGGCAGGGGCACACAGAGTCGGGAGGACCAGCAAACACAACCACCAACAGAAAACCACAGCCAAAGAAATTAACCAAAAACAAACCACACTGCACTCAGCCCCCGCTCCCCCCAGCACAAACCCCACCTACACAGCAGCCTCCAATTGCATCCTGTCAAGTCTCTCATTCCCCTAGCCCCCACAAACCTTCCAGAATACAGTTTTAGAAAAGAAGCTGAAGGTACGGTACACCAACGCAGAAGGAATAATGAATTACTGCGAGGAGTGGCACAAAAGGATCGTAGCACTCACGGAAACCAAGCTCACAGGAATGATAATGCACACGATCTTTCCAACTGGATATCAGATCCTTAGGAGAGATAGGGGAAACGGAGGGGAGGAGGAGTTGCACTACTCATCAAAAACCAGTGGAGTTGATTGCAGTGATGTACAACCTGTCACTGAATAGCAGGAGGCCAAGACAAGAGTGTGATGAGAGCAACATAGCAATGGTTCATACACTAGTTAAGGCTGCCAGAAGGCCCAAATGGGCAGAGCAAAGTTACTAGCTGTGAGTGGTTTCAGTCACAAGGAGACTGGGAAAACCTGGGGTCAAATGGGGGACCAGAAACGTGGAGGGCTATGATAGTGGAGGTGTTACTGGAAAACGTCATACATCAACATTTTACGGATACTACTAGAGAAAGAGGAGAGGATAAACCTCATATTCACCTTGAGTAGTTTGGACACTTGGGACATCACATACGAAAGGCCCCTCAGAGCTAGTGAACACGTACCCTGAGCATCGAATACATTGTAGACTTAAAAGTGGAGAGTAAACCAGCACGAATAGGTCGGGAGAAGCCAAACTACAAAAGTGGGGACTACAGAGGCATGATGAATTTCCTACATGAGGTACAATGGGAAAGAGAACTGGTTGGAAAAACAGTAAATGAAATGACGGAATATGTGACCACCATATGCAAGGAGGCAGAGGAGTTCGTTTGTACCCAAGGGCAACAGAAACAATGGGAAGACCAGAACGAGCCCTTGGTTCACCCAGTGTTGTAGGAAGGCCAAAACCAAGGGCACTAGAGAATGAAAGCTTTAAGTATAGAAGACAAAGAACCCAAGAAAATAAGGAGATTAGTTGAAGAGTCAGAAATGATTATGCATGGATAAGGAGGGAGGCCCAGCAGCAATACAAGAATGACATAGCATCGAAAGCCATATCTGACCCAAGGCCACATCAGCCACATTAGAAGGAAAACAACAGTCAAGGACCAGGTAATCTGGCTAAGGAAGTAAGGAGGGGAGATCACAAGAAACAACCAAGAAGTAAGGCAAGAGCTCAACACGAGAATTAGATAAGCATTTTTGTGGAGACAGAAAGGCTTCCAGCAAACCAGGATGGCAGGGTACACCAACAAGTGCTCGACACACTACACACAACCGAGGAGGAGGTGAAGAGGTTGCTAAGTGAATTAGATACCTCAAAGGCTATGAGACCGGGCAACATCTCTC